GGACTGGCCATTTAATCCAATTTTCCACAAACGCAAAAAGATGAACGTAGAAGGTGTGACCGTAGGACAGTGGGAAGCGATGCGTGTCCGATGAGACTTCAGCTTCTAGATCTTTTTCAGATGTTCCCGTGATTGGCTTCATTGTTGTTGGCTTTAGTTACACGTGCATTCTTGGAGTCATTAATATGAATTAATTACAGGTGCCAGTTACTGGTAGCACAATGTATTCGTGCCATTAAGAAATTTGCGCGTTCTCAGATGCTTATTGTTAGCTCTTCAGCAGCAGTTAACCTACAAACGCTAACCAATTTACTCTACTGTCGCTATATCATTCTGCCACTGATCCTTGTCCTACGGATTGTTGATGCGGTAACATGCCCACTGGAATCATCATCACAAATCGGTTCAGCTAGCAGCAGTAGTAGCGCCAGTAAGTCGTTAACGCTAACAAAACGAAAAATTTGTCCGGATTTCAAGGATAATGAGGACGAGAAATACTGCTGCCCGTCACATGTTGTGCCTGGAAGTTACTACTGCTGTTCCCAGGAGCATCTTTATAAAATCGAAGCGGAAAAAGCTGCTGAAGTGAGGCGACAGTTCATCAAAAAGTTAGTTTTCTGGTTTTTCATATTTCAGACAAAGTTTGACAAACTCCTGTCATTAGTCAGTTGATAATTCGCTTCTCAATTCTACTTCAAGCTAAATTATTTCATTGTTTCCTGTTGCTTCGGTAAAAATGTGTTTCAATCGCATATGTGTGTTTGTGCCTTCTGTCAGTGCCAGTTGAATTTTGGTCGAATTAGGCGTTGTTAGCAGAATCGATAGTATACTGACGTGAGATTCAGTTGTAATGCTTGGGATCTGGAATCTGTAGAACCTTAGAGATGTGTATGTATGTGTAGAACTTTAGAACCTTAGAGATATATTTATGGTGTATGTATGTGTGAGTGTTGAAATAGACAACCATTTGCGCGTTTGCAGGTCTTCTCGATTCTTTCCCCTATTTTTCGGTTAAGATCACGTTGATTGCTCCTTTTTTGAAAGCGCGTTTTACAAAAATTTTTTGTAAAGCTCTGCATGTGCATCATTGTTTCTGGGTTCTCAACTGTGAATTTAATTAATTTTGCTTTTTTAGAACCTCACTTTGAAGGTTTCCTTGCTTTTTGACGATGCTGCAGAATTTTCATTTCCTCTTAGTTATCCGTCAATTTAGTTTTGCAGCTTTATCAAGTTTTTTCTTCAGTGTTGCCGCTGGCTTTGTCCCCTTCAATCATTACGAAAAGTGCGGACGTAGAACTCTGTTAACGATTACTGCAATTGCTGAGGAGGGTACCCTCTTTCCTTTTTCCTCTGACTATAGCGCTGCTT